TAATTATTTAACAATTACTAATGTTTGTTATTATATTGTTTGTAGATTTGGATATTTGAGGTGTCTACTTTACGCGGTGAGGTAGCCGCTCTACGTGAGATGGTAGCATCGTTGCAGAATGAGGTTCATACTCTACGCAACGAGGTAAGTTTAAGATTTTTCATATTTAACTTGATGATAAATTTACTCGTAATTTCACTTAGATTAACCATTTCACTTAGATTGCTTAATAAGTTCATTCGGTTGCTGCCAATACTGCTAAACTGTTTTTGTTAGTATTTGTTTTTGGTTTTGTTTTTGTCTTTTGGTTGAAGTAATGCAATCCATTCAAGTTTCAATTTGCAGAAGAAGAATAGTTTACTTTCGCAACACGAAAATGACTATCGCAATGCGGAAATGGATATCGCAATGCGAAATGAAAATCGCAACGACAAAATCGCAATGCGAAATGAAAATCGCAACGACAAAATCGCAACGCGAAATGAAAATTGCAATTTTCGCGTTGCGATTTTGTCGTTGCGATTTTCATTTCGCATTGCAATTTTGTCGTTGCGATTTTCATTTCGCATTGCAATAGCCATTTCCGCGTTGCGATAGCCATTTCCGCGTTGCGAAAGTAAGTTTCGTGTTGCGAAAGTAAACTATTCTTCTTCTGGAATGTTTATATATGTTGTCCTTTTAAATGTTTATATAAGTGCTTACTTCTGGAATGTTATCTGATGCATTTTGTGAACTATGATAGAATAATGACTTGGGTGAATACAATGCAAGTTTGAAACATATTTGTCTTTGTTTAATATCATGTCTGTTTATTTACTGATTTATGTATTAATTTTTTTTAGCGGCCCGATAAGGTGGATGCTTTATGTCGGGTTTTCCTTGCACGACGGAGTTCACGCATCAGACGGCGTCACGTGCTATTACGTCTCCGTTCACCCCAATGGTGCGAAGACTCCGCAAGAAGAAGCCCGACTCACCTGTCATCCCTCAAGAGTCCCCTCCAATCGTTTAAGAGGCCCCTATCATCCCTTAAGAGTCCCCCCACCATTCAAGAGGCCACTGTCATCGTTGAAGAGGTCCCTTCCACCATTCCAGAGCCCGATTCACATGGGGTAATATATTGAATTATTGAGAAACCCCCACCGTTGCCGGACATGATGGATGAGAGTTGGCTCTCGTATGAGTTACCGGCTAGTACCATTCCGGTATCTGAAGTGGAGAGGAGACAACTACCGGAAACAATTCTGGATAATACCCTTTGGGCTAAGACCGCAGTTGATTTTTATCTACATGAGCGGAGCCAAGGGTGTTACACTGACATAAGCAAACTCAACGATGAGATGTATTTGTTGCTTAATCGGTCTTGGTGGGGTGTGTTATTAGGGGTTGAAGACAGTGGCTATTTCGATGGGGAGGTAAGTCTTATATTTGTCTTATATATGATTTTGATTAATTTTTTTAAAAATTAATGTAATTCACTAATATATGTGTTTTTTTTGTAAAACAGCATATCGATGCGTGGGTGTCACGTCTTCTAATAATAAGGAAGCTTAGGAAAAATAAAAAAAATTCGCGATATACAATAATGCCGGCGGCTTTTCACGCAGTTCACTTGAAGAATCAACGAGATGAATCATTTTCGTTGGGCAATGGACAAGCTAAACTTTATCCTGCATGGTGGGAGGTCGATAAGGTTAGTGTTTATTTTTTAAATTTTTTAAAGGTTTTCATAAATAAGTGCGCAAATAAATGAATTATTACTTATGATTGCAGGTGTTTATCCCTGTTTTGGAACGTCGTTATTGGCTTCTCGTCCAACTTCAGCTCCCATCCCTGAAGATAATAGTATATGACAGCATGATAAATTACATATCACTGTCTGATTTGAGAGATATTATCAAGGGATGGAGCTCTCATTTGGCTAAATTCTTGGATGGGATTAATTATTGGACTCATTCTGGACACAAGAAGCCAAAGAAGTTCAATGTCACAGTTGTCAGAGACGAGACCGCGCCACAACAATCACCGGGAGCCAGAGGGGATTGTGGTCCTCTTGTATGCATGTGCTTGGCGTGTTTGACGACGGGAAGCACAGACCTCCCACCGATAGAGATAGAGCTACAGTAGGCTTGTGGTTTCGGCATTATATGGCTAGAGCGATATATTCGAGATGCTGCCTACCTGCATCCGCGTTATGAAAGTATCCATTGTTAATTGGTAAGTCAAATGCAAGTTTTGTTAACATATATACTCCTTTTTGTTTGAAAATGTTTGGTTAAGTACCTAGAATTCAATAATTTGCTGTTTGTAGGTTTTAGATGTGTAGGAAGTCTTGTTTGAGCAAATGTTTGGTTTCTGCAGGTTAATCCTTAAGTGAGCTGCGTGAAATGGATGTACGGGTGCAAAAGTTGATTCATTGATTCAATAATTGATGAGGAAATAAGAATTATTATTATTTTTTGATTGTTTAATTGATTTGTAAAAAATGATTTGTAAATGTTGATTTGTTTAATTGATGTGTACATAATTCTTATTTGTGCTTGTTTAATTGATTGAAATGTAATAGTTGATTTGTTGATTTTCAATCTGCATCATGTTGAAGGCAAAACAAACTATCGCAACACAAAACTGACTATCACAACGAGAGAATCGCAATGCGAAATGAAAATCGCAATGCGAAATAAAAACCGCAACGAGAAAATCGCAATGCGATTTTCATTTCGCATTGCAATTTTCTCGTTGCGATAGCCATTTTCGCGTTGCGATAGCCATTTTCGTGTTGCGATAGTCATTTTCGCGTTGCGATTTCCCCGTTGCGATAGTCAAATGAATGTCTAATAAGTGATAACAACTGAACAGATCATAGCAATGTTCAAACTCAAGTTACTAATACATGCCTAACTGAAAATGTTAAAAGTGCACACATAAAATACACATAATACAACGTTTGCATTTAAAAATCACCTAAGTTAACAGTCCCAAAAGGTGAAGCCGGTTGTGATTGGGATTTTGAAGATGATTGCGATTTTCAGAATCTCGTTGCAAAAGTCAGAATCGTGTTGCGAAAGTCAGTATCGCGTTGCGAAAGTCAGTATCGCGTTGCGATTTTGTATTATCGCGTTGCGATAGTTAGTATCGCATTGCGATTTTCCAAATTCGCATTGCGATTTACTTATTCGCATTGCGAATTGGGAAAATCGCAACGCAAAATTGGAAAATCGCATTGCGATAGTCATAATCGCGTTGCGAATCTGGAAACTGATTTGCGATAATGGAGATCGCGTTGCGAATTAGCGATCGCATTGCGATTTTGTTGGTCATTTTGGCAAATCCGGAAAAAGTTGGTTAAAATCGTATATTATATGGGATTTTTGGTCACTGAGGTTATTTTCTCTATACAGTATTGAGAAGAAGAGGCTTATTTTAGGTTTTGAATTAATTATTGGTATTCGATCTATTGACTGATTAATCTAGATCGGATTTTGCAGAAACCATTCTAGGGTGATCTCCCAACTCAGTTTGCTCTATTTACAAATGCCATGATTCAAACCTCTGACTTTACTTAAATTAATTATTGGTATTCGATCTATTGACTGATTAATCTAGATCGGATTTTGCAGAAACCATTCTAGGGTGATCTCCCAACTCAGTTTGCTCTATTTACAAATGTCGTGATTCAAACCTCTGACTTTACTTAAAGAAGAGGTTTATTAATGAAACTCCATTATCATCTAAACAATGTCTCCTAAAAGAAATTAATGAAACACTTCTCTCATAAAAAAGTGGTTATATAGAAATTAAATACGTGATAGCCAATAAGATTAAAGATTATTATCTTATATACTTACAGTAAAAATATATTTCACTGTAGAATTGTATTAATGTTATTTTTTTTATTTAGAGTTTAAATTTATAATTTAGAATTTAGGATTTAGTGGTTAGAGTTTAAAGTCGTTTAAATATGTCAGATGGCATTCAAATAAATATATTTATGGAGTTTTAATTTAAAAAGTCTCTAAATCATTATAATTTTCTGAAGATTAAATACTCATTATATTTTTGTCAACTGTATAGAACATAGACCCCAAGGGAATTTGGAGGGAGAATGTAAGCATGAGATAGAGATACTATTAAAGATATTAACATGCCATCGTCATTTATGGAATCATGGGACACCAAGTTAATCCATCATATGTAATGATAATAAACATTAGGATTTTGTTAACAAATTGATACTAGAAAAGCAAATAAAAAATCTCAACAACCAAGACATTTTAGAAAGGGGTTGATGACAATATAATAGATGATGATTATAATCATGGATGAATCGAGGGGTGTTAGGTGCGATTGTACCTCTAAAATTTTTAAATTCTTATATAATTTAATTTTGTTTTACATTTTTCACTAATGATCAAATTTCGTACTTCTGGAATTTTGTAATTTCATTCTCTTAGTTAACACCTTTGACATAAAATCATACGTCCGTTTCTTATTATAATGTAAAGGCCATTGGAACTAAGATTTGGGTGGGTAAAAATGGGTGAAGGTGGTTAGGCAAGAATATCACACAACAATTAAATACACACAAAATCTCTAACCCTAGAGTGTATCAAAGACTCAACCTCTCCCCTTCCACACATATACACTTTGAACAAATCTCTCCATTAGTCAATGCTACAATTGCTTGGCATTTTCAGTAACTATTTCAAAACTTCAGTGACAAATCAGCAAGTCCACCCATCTATATATCTAACTCATCTCTCACTGTACAGTACCATTGGTGTAAATTTTCAAAACCAAGTATTTTTCTTGCAGCTTGTTTTTTGTCAAAGTGTTAGCTGTAATAATAATATAATAATAATAATAATAATAATAATAATAATAATAATATAATAATAATAATAATAATAAATAATAATAAAAGTTTAGTCATGGCTGCTTCTTCTTCAAGAGCGAAGTTATAGAACATAAAGTACACGATACCCTTTTCTGATTTCCTTCCATTTAATGTTATAAGCTCTTTTTTATAGCGTCATATCAGCTTTGGGAATTGGTTTTTAGGGTTTCAGCAAGAAGAAAAAGGATGGAGAATCTGCCTCCAGGGTTCAGATTCCATCCCACAGATGAAGAACTCATCACTTACTATCTTTCCCACAAGGTGTCCGATATCAGCTTCACTTCCAAAGCTATTGTCGATGTTGATCTCAATAAATCTGAACCTTGGGATCTTCCAGGTATGCCTTAAACTTCTTTTGGTTGATAAATCAGACAATTATTAATCAACCTAGAGACTATTCAAGGTGTTTTTTTTTATTGAGATTGAGACTGCTGCAATTGAGGAGTACTTAATAACTGTTGCCCTTAAATAATTTTCGAGTTTAATGTTGGTTGATGGTAGAAATGGACTGTGGTAGTTTGTGACGATTCACTCCTAATTTAGACGGAGAGTCTTGTATAATTACTCAATGGAGGGGAAAGGGAGAATAGATGAACTGAAGAAGATGATGAAGAATCGTCAGAGAGTGAGAGAGAGTCAAAAAGTACTCCCTTAATGTTGGTTGTTGTCAGTGCTAGGGTGATGATGATAATTTGTAAATCAGCGAGGCAAATAGATTTGATTGTCATATAATAGATATAGTGAGTGATGAGATTGACATCGGTTATGTTAAAAGATTATAACTGGCCGGAAGGTATGGAACTCTGGAGGATTCGGGATTTAGTAAGCCAAGGAATGACAAAAGAAGTGTTGTGGAGGAGGTACAACAATATCTTAACAAAGAATTAAGTTTTGTTTTTGTCTTTCTATTGGATAACAATTATTGAGCTTTTTGTTGGGAACAACTTACTAATTATGCAAATAAGGTCTACTTATGTTGAAAGGAAAAGATTATGATCGGTGAATTATTTAAATTTGTTTAAGATTATATACGCAAATTCTGAGTACAAAACACTTTTGTTCCCCATGCATATACTTTATGATTGCTTAACAAAGATGACTGATGGAAGAGTTATAAAATGCAGCCAAGGCATCAATGGGGGAGAAAGAATGGTACTTCTTTAACTTGAGAGACCGGAAGTACCCGACTGGGCTTCGAACAAACCGAGCCACCGAAGCCGGGTATTGGAAAACCACCGGCAAAGACAAGGAGATCTTCCGAGCAGGCGGCATTCTTGTTGGGATGAAGAAAACCCTAGTTTTCTACAAGGGAAGAGCCCCCAAGGGTGAGAAAAGTAATTGGGTCATGCATGAATATAGACTTGAAAACAAAAACCCTTTCAAAGCCACAAAGGTAAGTGTTTTTCTTTTTCCTATCAATAAATAACTTGATTCGTCCAAGCATTTCCAATGATTGTTTTTAGACATAATGATAGAAACATGTTCTTGAGATTTTGGTCGTTTAAACATAGAAATTAGGCCTCTAATAACAAGTATTAAAAGAATTGAATTGTAAGAGTAAAAAATAAATTAATTTACTTGTAAATTGTATTTTTTATTACACTTAACAAACTATCTAACATATATATTAAATTTAAAATAAAAAATATTAAGAAATTTTATTAAACACCCAATTACTAAGAAAAAACATACATTACCTTCTTTTAATAAAAAAATAATTATATTGAAATTGAAAAAATAATTAAAAAATTCCACATAAACATTTTTTATTAATTAACGGTGGGTAGCCAAAACATAAATAAAACATAATATATGAATGATTTTGAAAAAAAATAATGGGAAAACCAAAAATGAAATAAAGTAAACAAGTGAGTGACACAATGGATAATTTACTTTTTTAATTATATATGGCCTAAATTATGGGTATGATAAAAAATATTTTTAATGTTTGATTAAATAGTCATTTTAGCCTCTATTCCTTTTTTTTGAGCATTTTGGTTTCCAATGTTTTATTTGGTGTAACAAAGTCCTCAATGTATGAAAAACATTAGTCAACAAACGATAAACGCTTGAAATAGAGATATTTTTATCTTAAAATAAAATGTTGGAGGAAAAAATATTTCAGAAAAAAGAATAAAAGCTAAAGTGACTATTTAATCGGATATATTTTGCCTTAAAATGAAACATTGGGGTAAAATACTCTAAAGAAAACAAAAATAAGGATCAAAATGACTATTTAATAGAATCGGTATGATACTTTTTTTTGGCGTCATGCCTTGTTTTCAATCCTTGATTATTAATTTTTTACAGGAGGAATGGGTGGTGTGTAGGGTATTCCAAAAGAGTGCAGCATTGAAGAAACCCCAGCCAAGTTCATCCTCTCAACCATCGCTTGGATCTCCATGTGATGCAAATTCAATCGTGAATGAGTTTGGCGACGTTGAGCTACCAAACTTGAATATCAATGCCAGGGGCATTGCAAACCCCAGCTACAGTAACACTGTTAACCTTGCTCATGTGAATCCCATGAACTTAAACCTGGATTTTGGAGCAGCAGCAAGCTTTCCATCGTCTCTCTCTTGGCCTTCCACCATTCTAAACCCTAATCTTTCCATGAATTCCTTTCTGCTCAAGGCATTGCAGCTTAGGAATCTTCAACCAAGAGATTTTACAGCTATGGATTATTCGATTCTGTCGTCAACACAAGGGATTAATATCCCTCCATACGCAACAGATTTAGCTTCTTCTTCCAAGGTTGTAGTTCCTTTGCATCAACAACAACAACAGCAACAACAACAACATGAGCAACCATTCAACATGGACTCCATGTGGTGAAAGTTGTAAACCAAATATAGCTGAAAGTGTGTAAAAAAAAAGCTAACACTTTGTCAATGACATGAAAGGGTTGATTAAGATGAAAACAATCTCCATGGTGTAATGAGCAGTTCGATCTTATATAATATGTCTATGTATGTACGTAGGTAAATGAGAGGGAAAGAAACACCCTAGTGATCTCCTGTTATATAATATATCTCTTCTAGAAGTAGAATGCTCCTTGTGATTAGTACACCTTTTCCACCGGAAAGTTCTAATCAATGTCCGTAAATTACAACTGCTATAATAAGAAGTTGCAGTCTCTTTCTCTGGTGTCTAGCAACTTAATATTGTATTATTTCATGCAAGCTATAATTACATATAAATACAATATAAAGCTGAAAGCTGCTACAATTTTTTGTGAATATAAAAACTCTTTGCAGTACAGTATTTTTGGGTGCAATTTTTGTAATAAAAATATGATATGAGCTTGATGGTGCTGTTGACGCAAATCTAGCAACAGGCACTACGGGAGGAGTTATCCGTGACAGCACAGACTCTTGGACGTTGGGTTTCAACAAATTTCTCGGTCACACAACTGTTCTTCAGGCTGAATTGTGGAGCATCCTCATTGGTCTAAAGCTAGCTTGGTCTAGAGGCATTCATAAGTTAAAAATTCAGTCAGACTCCCTCTATGCTGTTAAGTCTATTTCTGAAGCCGACGCACAAACAAGTCCACTATCACTCGTCCGAGAAATTCTCAGCATAGCATACGATCGGACGACTGGGAAACATCTATTCAGTGGGTACCAAGAGAAGCAAACGTTGCTGCGGATGCAATGGAAAAAATGGCGGATAGGAATGTATTCTCCACGATGGTGTATGAAATGCCCCCTCTATCTATGTTACCTCTGCTCAATCGGGACTTACATGGCCCTCCCCATTTGAGGCTTGTCTTGTAATTCCTTAGCTGTCACCTTCAATTCAAAAAAAATATATATAATTTAATTATAATAATACAATATCGTAGTAATAATAAACGATATAATGTCGTAATAATAGTAATGCAACAAAAGGTTGTTGCAATATTATATAGTAGCAACGTAAGAAAATAAAATTAAAAAAGTAAAATTTGAACAAAAATTCTTATTGGATAGAGTTAGATGAACAAAAGAGGAATTTTTGTTGAGGTATGTATGAACAGTTTCCTTAAGACATATTTGTTATCTCCTCGATACTTTGAATAACGTTGGACATCGATATCCCAGAATACAACTACAAATGATCACAGTTGCAAGCACAACAACAATGAACTCGAACAAAATCTATATTTTCTTGATAAGTGCTTTATTTGTTTATATTTTGCTTTTAAATTGCTCCTTAATCATTGGTTTTTATGGTTTATTTGTTCGTTTTAATTCATTTTATGTGCAGGACACTGGATTCTGGAAATTGCACTAAATGGACGGAATTTTGTAGTTTTTTTTTTAATTTTCGAAATCAAAGCTAGATTAGTGGGCATGACTTTGGACATAAAACATCTGATGTGGTGATGACGTCAGCACCTTCTAGAAGGTCCAGTCAACGCTTCTAGAAGAACGAATGGTAAAACGACACGTTTCTGCAATCCGAATTTGAATTAAACTCATGTTTTAGGATATTATTTTATATATTATATTTTATCTTTGTTTTAGGTATTTTAGTTTAAATAGTTTTAAGTGTTTTAATTAGGATTTAGGATATTATTTTAAATATATTTTATCTTATCTTTGTTTTATGTATTTTAGTTTAAATAGTTTTAAGTATTTTAATTAAGATTTATTTCTTTATTTTAGCAATTATCTTTAGCTTGTTTTTAGGATTTTGAAGGCTATAAATACCATTTCAGGGTAAACCTAAAAACATATCTCTCACATCTGAGAATTTAATCTTCTTCTTCTCTCTAGCTTTATAAAATTTTCTCTATTTTCTTTCAAGTTTTTCGCATACTTTTATTTTATTTTATTTTAAAGTCTTGTTTTCAAATATGCTAAGTATGACTTTTGTCATGCTTAGCTAATTTTCTTTTAAGCCGAAGGATAAATTGAAGGCTCAATTCCAAACGTGAAAATTGTAAGGCACCTAAATCGCCTGGGATTTTTCTCTCTGTTTTCTGGGCTTATTTTTCAAATCAAAACGATTTTCAAAACCAAAAGTCGACATTGGTCTAGATGTTGTTATGGTTAACGTGGGAAGAAGGATTGACTTATTGAAGAACATTCGACTTTCTGTGAACACACTTAGCAAAATTGTTTGCAAAGAGGAAACTGAGATCGAAATCAGTTATTATTGAAACAACATAATCCGAGTCGGCAACTTTTCAAACTTCAACATTTTAAGATCTACAACATTGTTGTTGCTTAGATCAACTCACAAACCGAAATTTAATAGTGCACTTGGATATTCGGTATATAAAGCATAGTCACAAGGAATTGTCCTTGTAGACAAGTAGCCGACGTGTATCTTGAAGTAAAGATCTATTTCGATGATCTGAGGAATTTGAGGCAAAGCTGAAGTTTGTGTTTTTTCTTACCATAAGTCTTCGTTATATTAATTTATTTTATTTTTTATTTAGTTTTTATCTCATTATATATCTTTAAACAATTTAAAAATTCCCCTTCTTATCTTTATCATTATCTTTACTATTTATTATTTTATTATTATCTTTCATTTAAAACAATTTATATTTAATTATTTATTTAATTATTTTATTTTTAGCTTTTTATCTTTATCTGAAATTCTATTTTCTTCTAAATCAAAAGTCCATTGAATCAGAAACACCAGAGTCCCTGTGGATCGACCATGCTTCTCTATACTACTCTCATTTTTTACTTATTAAGAAGTCGAAATTATTTTGATAGCAAAACGATAGTTATCAAAGTGGTGCCGTTGTCGAGGTCTCAAGACAAATACTGATTTATTGTTCTTTGTTTTTGATTTATGACCAGAAGAAACCCAGGTGAATTTGTAGATCTTAACCTGGAGATCGAAGCACGATCATAAAGAATTTACGCACAAACGCTTCGAGAAAAAAGAAAGAGATGAGAAGAGCACAATTTAGAAACAAAATCAAATCTAGAGACAAACTCTAAAGCAAACACATATAATGAAGATCAAATCCTAATGGCAGAAGAAGAACAAAGGATCCGAGAGCTAGCCACATCTCTTGTCACTCAGACACCATTATGCATTAATTTTCTTAGTGACGGGACTTCATTCCAGTTAAAGACGGGACTTCATTCCAGTTAAAGACGGGACTTATTCATCTTCTTCCCACTTTCCATGGCCTTCCAACTAAAGATCCACACAAACACTTGTTGGAGTTCTACGTGGTTTGCACTAGCATGAAATCACAGGAAGTTACTGAAGATCAAATTAAATTGAGGGCTTTCTCTTTCTCTTTAACTGACTTGTCTAAAGATTGATTATTTTATTTACCTCCGAATTCAGTTAATTCATGGGCTGACATGATTCGAATTTTTCTTGACAGGTTCTTCCCAGTGGCTAAAGCAAGCCAGTTATGAAGGAGCATTCTTTATATTCAGTAAAAGACCGAAGAAAGTCTTTATGACTGTTGGGAACGATTTAAAAAACTTTGTGCATGTTGTCCACAACACGAATTAAATGAGCAAATATTACTTTAATACTTTTATGAAGGCCTTTTATCGATGGAAATGAAAATGGTAGATGCCTCCAATGGAGGAGCGTTAGTCAACATGACCCCAACAATAGTGAGATAGTCAACATTTTTCAAGTGAACCCAACCGACGGGTTCACTAGATAATTACATTTTCTATTAAAAATAAATTAGATAAATTAACTGAAATAATTAATTCACTTGTTGCAGGAAAATCTGGGGTAACAAGAGCATGTGGGATATGCACGAAGTTGGACCATCCGACGGACTGCTATCAGATGATACATGAAGGAGGCAATGCAGAAATAAATGTTGTAGGAAACTTTCCAGGTCCTCCACAAACACCGTACAACCCATATAGTAATACTTATAATCCGTGATGGCGAGACCACCCAAATCTCAGTTATGCGCCAAATCAAAAGCCAACTTTTCAACCAAGACCTCCTCATCAACAACAAACGCAAAAGACATCATTAGAGGAAATAATGGAAAAGTTAGTAATTTCCTAGGAAAAGCTGGTTATATCCAATCAAAAATTCCAAAGTCAAACCAAAACATATTTTCAAGAGTTAGATAACCAAGTAAGCCGACCAGCTCAAACTGCGGGGAAATTGGAATCACAAGGAAGACTACCTTCTCAAACGGAGTTAAATCTGAAAGAGAATGTTAGTGCGATCACACTCCGAAGTGGAACAGTCATCTCACCTGAAAGTCCAGCAGAAAAAGCCGCATATCATGAAGAACAAGAAGAAAAACACCTTCAGAAATACAAGGTACATCTGACGTACATCCTTCTCTTTCTTCTCATGAAATCACGCCACCACCCTTCCCATCAAGATTGATAAAGCGTGATAAAAGAGCTAAAAAAAAGGGATATCTTAGAGGTGTTCCAAAAAGTTCAAGTTAACATACCTCTTCTTGAAGTAATTCGACAAATACCGAGGTATGCTCAATTTTTAAAAGAAATTTGCACTACAAAGAGGAAATTAATGGGGCACAAAAAGGTAAATTTGGGAGAACATGTTTCCGTCATTTTTTAACAAAAACTCCCACCAAACATTTTAAAATCAAACGTGTAATGTTTGACTTAGGGGCTTCAATCAACGTTATACCATTTTCTATTTATAAAATGATTACTAACGAGCCTTTGAAGGAAACAGGAATAACCATACAGTTGGCTGATCGATCTGTGATCTATCCAGTGGGAGTGATGGAAAATGTCTTAGTAAAGGTCGATGTACTATTTTTTCCTGCAGATTTCTATGTCATTGACATGGAACATGATAGGTCGAATTCTTATTCTGAAGTACTCTTAGGCCGACCTTCTTAAGCACATCACATACAA